GCGCCCAGTGTAACTCCGCCTGCCCCCCAGGCACCCCGCTGCCCCTCCAGTGCAATCCCTCCAGTTCCCACCAAAGTGCGCTCCCTCCATCCACCCCACACCGCAGCCCCCTGCCTCCCTCCATAGCGCGACCCCCACAAAAGCCCTTCAACAGCTCAACACCCATCCCGACACCCAAAATGCAGGGCCTTTAGCCCCCCCAACACTGCACCCCCAGACAGTGCAAATCTTGCAGATGCCCCCAAAATGCAGCCAGTCCCATGGCAGAGGTGCAGCCGAGTTTCCCGTTTCCATCTCCACCACCGCGTGTCATGGGGACCCACCAGAGCCCGTTCCCACCTTGGGGAATGCAGAACTCACGTGAGTGGCTATTGCAATAGCTGCAACGTGCTTTTTCCAGCCTTTCCTGCATGATCCTCTCCTTCGTCCTTTGCAATATTCCTATGTCATTCCTTAGGATAACTCCCCTACGAGCTTGCAATTTTCCAGGCGTTTTTCTGCATGGACCATGTCAGAAGCTCGTGGATGCGGAACAGGGCAACTTGTCTCAATTAGCAGGTTCCAGAAAATTGCAAGGGAATATTGCAAACTCAGGAAGTTTGAAAACCTCACTATCTGCTTTTCCCAAAGGACAGCAATCAGCTAATGGTAGACCAAAAAAAAGTAAGCTTTTCTTGTTCTATAAAAAATGAATACATTTAGTGATATTTCCATCCCAATCATTTCCAGTATTTCTTCTCTAATCTCCAAAGCCATTAAAACATTTTGAAGATTGCATCATGCCTTGTATTTTTTTGTCAAAAAAACTGCTACGGAGCTTTCACGGGCCAGTGGTTCTCAAGCCACTACACATTTATTTTTCTAAAGAAAATATATTTTTTACACATTTCAATTCAACAATGTTGAATTCAACATGTTTTTAGAAATATTTCCAGAAATATTTCTGAATTTGAATCAGATTCAGTTATCAGATCCTAGAGTTTTTTTAGACACTAATTTTTCCTGACTCTGCTGTTTCCATCCAGAGGCTATTTTTTATGGCTGAGTTACCAACCCGAGAAAAAAACAGGGAATTGATGAAAGAAAAAAAAAAAAAAGAGAGAGACAATGCTGAATACTACTTACTAATTACTTATATCAACAAGAAAAAGAAAGAAGGAAAAAGAGAAAGAGAGTGAAAGAGAGAAGGAGAAAAATAGAGAGAAAATGAAATATACCCACGGCAGGAAAGAACTCCTTAGCACGGGTTTATTCATCAAAACAGTTGGGTCAGGTCCATGTTGCGCTAGGAACTGTGCAAACAGGGAATCAAGGCACGTGAGAGCAGGGCCATGAGCGGGGCGAGCAGACGGCGCTCCCTCTGCTCCTGCCGCCTCGTGCTTTCTTTCCGGAGCTGCCCGGTCTTCGCGGTTCCCACGAGGGAAACGAGACCCGGCCTGCTGGGTCACCTGCGCGCGAGGGTGAAGGCGACGCCGCTCTCGCCGGGTGCAACTGCAGGCACCAGGTCTCAGCCGCCCTCCCGCTCCTTGGGGCTGATCTGGCGCCGCCGAGAGCTTCGGGATCGGCTCGCCGGGAGCCGAGGCGGGATAGGGGTGGAGAGACTGAGCACAGACCCCTCCACCAGGGCAGAACCCACCGGCACCCAACGAGGAGATGGGACGGGGACCTTGTGGAGTGGGGACAACAGGGTGGTGGGGAGGGTGGACCTGCCACCAGGGCTTGGGAGGTGAATAAAGCTAATGCGCCAACAGGGAAAACACACTGCTTCTTTTTTCCCTTTCTTTTTTTCTTTTTTTTTCCCTTTTTTCTTTTTTCCCCTTTTTTCTTTTTTTCCCCTTTTTTCCTTTTTTCTTTTTTCCTTCTTCTTTTTTCTTTTTTCTTTTTTCTTTTTCCTTTTTCCTTTTTCCTTTTTCCTTTTTCC